CAATGAACACTACACCAATGAAATATTTGTTGCAATTTTCAGTGGAATACCTACAATTTTTCTATTAAAAATATACTTAACACATGAACTTTTTAGTCCATATATTTTTTAAAATCACTCATTATTTTATCTCAAAATTACCTATTAATTTCTCAATTGAGTTAAATTTCTTACATATTAAATATTAAATAATATAAATAATTATTATTTTATATATGTAATATGATATTTATTATTATATTAAAAAAGAAAATAAAAGGTTATTTAAAATTAAAATAATCATTTTTTTTAAATAAAAGTTCTAACCTACATGGATAAAAGCACAAATAACTATTGTCGATTACCTAAAACTTACACATAGAACTAATAAGCACAAAAAATTAACAAGCATTGAACAATTCAGTTCATTTGCATCGATAAGTACAATTTTAAAAGTTTTATATTCATTTTTATTAATTATAACATTTTTATTTATTACTTTTTTTCATATTTATTAGTAAGTATGACAACTTAATTATATTTTATAATATTTAATAAATTTTATACTTTTGTACTTTATATTGTCCTTTCATATGTTCTTCACCTAATGGTCAGGTGAAAATCGTTAACTTTATCGGCCGTGTGACCAAAATTGGAAAAAAGAATCAAACAAACACATAAATAACGTTTTTTGTGGGATAAAAATTCAATTCAATAAATATAAGGTGCAATTTCTAAATATAAGATTTTATTTTTCTTAAATAACAAAGTGGCTAAATGAATTGATCCACTTTTATAGTTTGTTAAAATATGTATATATATATTCGCTATACCAATGAATATTATTCATTGCGATTTTAAGTGGAATGTCTGACCGTTGTATTTATTATTGCAATATAGCATTTTTTTGTGTATTCTTTCTTAAACATTAAAACTTTCATGTAGTAGTTTTTGCTATTAATTAAAGTAATTACGATTTTACATTAAAATTATATTAAAAATAAGGATGTTTTTCAAAACATCAATTATAAATCTTTTCAAAATTTTTGTTGTCTGGATTGATTTTTTGGAAATATGAAAAAACAGTTTGACAAATATGTGAAAGAAGCAAATTCGTTGGATAGTTTTTGTTATTAATTAAAGTAATTACGATTTTACATTAAAATAATATTAAAAATAAGAATGTTTTCCAAAACATCAATTTTATATATCTTTTCAAATTTTTGTTGTCTGGGTTGATATTTTGGAGATATGAAAAAAAAAAAGCAGTTTGACAAATATGTGAAAGAAGCAAATTCGTGAGGAATAATGGTATGCGAATATTGAGGCTGATTTTTAGGAGACTAATTTGCCATTAAAAATAAGTCAAAGTAAGTCTTTTTTAGGTAGTTTTTTTGTTAATTAAAAATATATGCTTACGATTTTACATTAAAATTATATTAAAATAAAGACGTTTTTGAAAACATCAACTATATATTCTCTCATAGCCTTGTTGGGTTGATTTTTGGGAGATATGAAATAAAACAGCTTGACAGATATGTGAAAGAATCAAATTGGTGATGAATAATGATATGAGAATGTTGAGGTTGATTTTTAGGAGAGCTAGAATATTTTGTTCATGTATCTATATTTAATTAATTAAATATTAGTTATTAATTAAAAATATAAGATGATTATTGGTGTAGTATTAATTTGCCATTCAAAGTAAGGATTTTTTAGGTAGTTCATTTGTTAATTAAAAATATAAAATAAGATGGGTATTACTATATTACTAATTTTCCATTAAAAATATGTCAAAGTAAGGATATTTTAGGCAGATCATTATTTTTACAAAATCACTCGTCCTTTTATAGATAGTATAGATATAGATATAGATAGATTATCAAGGGATTTCTGGTATGGTCAACTAGCCAGGTTTATGTCATTTACTATATAATATGAATTTCAACTCCCCAGCTGGATTTACTGATATTACAAAATTTTGGCAAGTAAAATGGCAATGTCTGAGATCAGATAGGAGCTTCATAGTGCTGCAGTAGTGGAAGAGCACAAAGATTACTTCATACGGGAAGTGAGAGTGTTAAAACTTGCAGAGTAATGTTAGAAAAGTAGTACCCCAAGTACAAGTGCAAAATTTTCAGAGAACTTCATCAATGAGCAATAAGAATTAAGGCAGATCATCACTTTCCCTAAGCTGGATGACTAGTTTACTACCAATGCATCATCACTTTCCCTAAGCTGGATGACTAGTTTACTACCAATGCTAAACTATCCGACCGAGCAGAAATTGGAAAGAAGATATAATAAAGAAGTTTTGCAAGAATGCGGATGGCTCTGAAATATGCAATTACAGAGGACAAAACTTAAGACTATTGCATCTCAGCCCTAACTCAAAAACTCTAATATCAGAAAAAGGCATAATTATACGAACACCAAGGGTTGATGATGTTACCCAATAACAGAGATATCATTTCATTCCAAATTGCACGGGTGCTTATTTTCCAATTCTTCCCGTGTTCCAAATTGGCAAATTCATCTCAATGAAAATAGTTGTCAATTTGTGCCCCATTAAAATCAAATCGAGTAATATGTAGGCATCTAGATATACAGAACAAATTCAATCATTGAGATGAATTTGTCTCACGAAACACAGTACTGTGCTCCAAACACTATCCGAACAAAATTCCATCATAAGAAAAGCAACAAGTGAGGCAGCTTACTTGGCAAACATATTGTGCCGTGGCCAGAACTCGATACACCGCACTAACCCTCATCCCTTGAGACTTCAAAAACACGGCCAGGGCCCGGGCTTGCCGTTTCCCGTTGGGCATGAGGGCGACGTCGGGGCTCCGGCCCGGTATTAAATCGGGCCTCAGATTCATGTGACACTCGCCGTGGCTGATCAGTTAGACCTGGGTGACACCCGATCGTCGTCCGGCCCGGATGCGCCGCAGAAGACGCGGTGGAAATGGGCTGGCAGCGGGGGAAGGGGCGGAGGCGGGGTGAGGACGTTGTAAGGGTCCCACACCTTGATGGACGGGGTCATTCGGGGCGTGCCGTAGGTGGAGAGTTGCGGAGAGAGCGGAGATGCCGACGAGTGGCACGGCAGTATCTCCGGCTCCTGCTCCAGGATCTTCTTCACCATGGAGGGATCCTGCGTGTCGTTCGGAATGCAGCGCCGGACGACTTCGTCTTCTTCTTCTTCATCTTCCACGTCATCGTCTTTGTCGTCATTTTCCTCTTCTTCCTCGTCTTGCTGTTCGTCTTCGGATAGGATTTGGGCCGACTGTGGAGAGCCCATTGATTAAAGCGGAGATTGATGATAATGAGCTGCTCCAAAACGCTATCTTTTAGGTTATTACAATTGATGGAATGACGATTGAAATCGGGATTGAAATTGATGGAATGACGATTGGCTAAGCTAAATGAGGAAATGGTAAGATATAATGGGAAAGATCTGGGGATGAGCAGAGCAAAACAGGGGATACAAAGATTTCTTTCTAATCTAAGCATTGGCTATGGTCGTTGAGGAGAATCTTAAACACAAACCAGAACAACAAGATTCACATCTGAGCCCACCCAAATTTTACGTATACGGTTCTTCCGGTTTTACTAAAGTCCCGAATATACTACTGCAGGCAATTACTATTTCTTCTGTTGTTATTGCTCTCACCTGTCACTACGCCATCTCAGCAGCTAGGACTGGAACTGCTTCCGCATCTGGTACTCCCCAACCTTTTCTATCTATCCTTAGAAGTAGGATAAAAAAGTGTATACAGACCGGGTTCTCTCTCTGAATCAGGTTATTCACTGGGCTGTTAAGCCATCGAGTCTTCTAGGGTTGATCGATCCAACGAACGAAGCGAAGCGCAATGAAGTCATAAAAAAGGAGGGAAACTCCGGAAGAGTTCGGACTCACTTTGCAGCACTAACATCACTCCCCTAATGATTGTTACTGTTTTTACATGATCTATGTCGTGAAAGCAACATTTTACGAGGTAGTTCAACAATGTCTTAATTTATATTTCTTGTACGGTCATTCACGAGAGGATTTGGCTGTCTTCCTTTTCTTTTGGGTGGTCCTCTCTGACTCAACAATCTATAATATATGATTCATTATAATCACACCAACTGGAGCTTAAAATTGCAAACAGATGACACATACTCAAAACTAGAAGTCTAGACATGTGCCATTTCCTTTCATTCTAGACTAGAGATATGTTACAATCTTGAAATAATAAGCAAATTTTCGATAGTTGATAACTATATTAACTAGAATCAACAGAAAACCAACACATCTCCACTAGAATCAACATCCATTATGACTCTCTGACCTTCTCTCACACTCCCATTCAGAATTCCATCTGCCAGGTTATCCTCCAAGAGCCTTGCTATGGCCCTCCTCAGTGGCCTTGCTCCATAGCTCGAATTAAATCCTTGAGACAGCAGGTTCTCCTTCAATCCGTTAGTCACCTCTACATTTATCCCCTTTTTCTCCACCCTCGTGTAAAAATCGAGCAGCATAATCTCCAAAATCTCCCTCATATCCTTTTTCTCTAGCCTCTTAAACACGATTATATCGTCCAGCCTGTTGAGCAGTTCCGGCTTGAAAAACTTCTTCAGTTGAGCCACAACTTCCTCCCTCACCTCATCGTGATCACCCGTTACTCGCCCACCTATGTTGGACGTGAATATGACGACCGCATGCCTAAAATCAACCGTTCGGCCCTTGCCATCTGTCAACCTCCCGTCGTCCAGAATCTGAAGCAGCATGTCATGGGCCCGCGAGTTGGCCTTCTCTATCTCGTCAAACAGAACCACAGTGTGGGGCCTCCTGCGAACAGCCTCCGTGAGCTGGCCGCCTTCGTCGTGGCCCACATAGCCCGGCGGGGACCCCACGAGCCTGGCCGCCACGTGGCTCTCGGCATACTCAGACATGTCCAGCCTCACCATGGCCTCTTTGGATCCAAAGTACTCCTCAGCCAGCAGCTTGGCAAGCTCCGTTTTACCGACGCCCGTGGGGCCCACGAACAGAAAGCTGGCAATGGGCTGGTCCATGTCCCTAAGCCCGACCCGGGATCGTCGCAGGGCCCGGCACACGGACGACACGGCCTCGTCCTGCCCAATCAGCCGTTTCCTGAAAACTTTTTCGAGGCCTAAGAGGCGGTGGGATTCGTCGGTGGATATTTTCTCCAGAGGGATGCCCGTCCACATGGATATCACTTGACGTATTTCGTGTTCTGTTACTACAGATGATGATTGGCCTCTTAGCTGGACTCTTGCACCGGCCTCATCAATCAAATCAATTGCCTTGTCGGGCAGGTAACGTTCACTAATATTACCATGGAAAAATGATGATGGTTCGTTCAAACAAAAAATTAATGTCATAAGTTATAGTACCAATGGATTATGAAAAATCGAAAACAAACCCAATGTACTCCTTGGATAGGTCAACTGCACAAGTGAGGGCCGTGTCTGTGTATCCAACACCATGAAATATCGCGTATTTTGCCTGCACTCCTTTTAGTATCTCCAGTGCTTGCACGGCAGGTGGTTCCGGAACATCAATAGGCTGAAACCGACGTTTGAGGGCCGGATCTTTCTCGATGTACTTTCTATATTCTTCCAAAGTGGTAGCACCAATGCACTTAATATAAACACAACATATATGTATAGCAGAAACCATTAATTCCCAATACTCATTGCCTTAATAATAATATAATTATTATCATCCATTTCAATCCTACCTTCAATTGGCCTCTGGCAAGGGCTGGTTTGAGAATATTAGCAGCATCAAGAGAGTTACCACCACCTCCAGCACCGACAAGAGTATGCAACTCGTCTATGAAAAGAATGATGGAGCCTTCACTTTTAACAACTTCATCAACAATTTGTATCAGCCTCTCCTCAAACTCTCCGCGGTTGGAAGCTCCGGCAATGAGGCGTGCCATGTCAATTGCAAAAACCTGTATACATATATACAGTTATATTATATATTAAATAAGCATAACAATATTATTGATACAATTATATGCACTTGTACTCCATCAACAAACTTAAACCTTCTTTCGGGCCATTTTAGGTGGGAGAGATCCGTTTGCTATCTTGGTGGCGAGTCCTTCGACAACGGCTGTTTTGCCAACACCGGCATCACCAAGCAGGCAAGCATTGTTCTTCCTTCTCTTGCACAAAACCTGCGTGAGCCGTTCAAGCTCCACTTCTCTTCCAATCATCGGGTCCAACTTCCCCTGCATACACACACATTATCTATTGTCAAACATTATAATTTCAACAATTCTAATAATGTATAACTCCAATTCAGCAAATTAATAAATTATTTTATCAGCAGCTAATACCATTTTTGCCAAACTAGTTAAATCAGTTCCAAACTTGAGAAGGACCTCCACCTTGAAAGGATATTGCTCCAATTTCTCCATTGTATCCTATGAAGTTCCAAGTCAAAACTGCTGGTTTTCTTTTTACTATAATTTCTTTTGTACATGTGATTCAAATCAGTTGAGGGCTCTATTTATAGTAGTTCTTATTAGACTGGAACCACAATTTATCTGTCATTGGCAATCAAGTTCATTTATTGTTTAATTAATTATGATTAACCCTCATGCATGCATCACATTAGTCTTTTCTAGTTCGAGATTCCATGTGTTCATTTTTTCAAAACTCCTTGCTGTTCCCTAAATGTATGTAAATGTGCGTACGTAGTATTGTTGCAGTTATTATTAGGTGCTTGGAATTCTAATAATTGGCTTTTCATGTGCTCTCATGCACCACTTTTCTCATTTATATATTTCATATTATTTTTTGTTGGTGCTCCAATTAATATTTTTGCTTCACTATGTGTTATTTGTTCTTAATTTGAATAAAACAACCCCGGCCCTTTGTTAAATGTGTTATGGTCAAAGCATGATATCTGAACAAATTAACTACAAATCATGCATGTGTTATGAAGTTTGGTGGCTCATCTGTTGCCTCGGCAGATAAGATGAGAGAATTAAGTAGCTCAACTTATACGCAGCTTTCTTATAATACATAAGTTTGTCCCAAAGCCGGTGGAAATTTTGCCGGAATTCAAGTATTTTCTCAAATACATACATGTCTAATTAAATAGAAACATGCATTCATCTGGTTTGTCATAAATACATTGATGGTATGGCCCTAATTGACAAGTCAGCACATGAAAGTCCCAAATTAAGAAGCATAACGCGGTGGTCAATGGATGCCAATTAGTGGCAGTAAGCCCATCGATCCCAAACACATAGAATTTGCATCCATCTTATACATGGCTATACCTTCCATCTGAGTGTTTTAATGTAATGTTGTTGTGCCCCTTTACTTAATTTCTCGTAAGCCATTGACACTGGCCAGCTGCCATAAGGCCCTGATTAATGTCCCCACACTACTTTACAGTTATGAAATTGCCTTCTTGGCCGGCCAGCTTGATTCTTCTTCAGCTGTAGGTACGCACAGCAGCCGAGTGCGCCCGTAAATCTGACCAGTCCTGCTGCTTCCTCTCATTACCTGACAGCTTCAATTATTTCTCTAAAATAAGCAAACAAATTTGCCATGGCAATTTAGACAAGAGAAATGATGATCCTTATAACACCAAGGCACTCTACAAGTTGCAAGAAGAAGTATGAATGAAGAGAAATTGAACTAATTACCACTCAGTATATATATCCAGGATCAACCAACGGTGAAAACATAATTAATAATATTGACTATGACGTCACACATGGAGATAGAGAGCAAGTTAATTCTATTGATTTCATTCCCGTACGTTCCTTTGGCACCTCTACCTTTGGAATAGATAAACGGGATTCGGGATCCTCTGCATGGAATTGTAAGGAACATCATCCAATGCGATATATACTAAACCAACAGATTTAATGTCCTCATATCACCTTTAGAGTTGTGGAGCCACGCGTATTAAAAATACAATTAATCACCATTATTCCCCAATACCTACCTTTATCATTTCGTTTCAATCTCTACGAGTGAGGCTTTTGATTATTAGCACTTCATCATCTGCACCAAAATAACTATACAAATAAGCACAGGTAAAAATCTGAATGGAAAACAAGTCCATGGGTTCTACCTCTTCAAGTTTGCTCAAAGATATGACTCATCAACATTGTTTTGTGATGAAAGGTGTGTCTCTACAGTTGAAAAAACACAACAAACAATTTCGAAATGGTAAATTGCACCAAACCCCCCTTGTGTTTATGTAAATATTCGCGTTTTCCCCCTGTGTTTTAAAACTGCACCATACCCCCTTAGGTTTTAATGTCGACGGATCACGCTCTCCATACCCCAAACACCGTTAATAATTTTGTAAACTCCCCATTATGCCCCTCATATTAGAACCGTCACACAACAATGTGGTCTCACAGCACTCTCTCACAACACAGAACGAAAATATCAGAAAGAACACACACACTCGATCCAATTGAAGAAAATTCGAACAAATCTGCTAAATCATTTCAATCTCAGGTCGACGAGGAACTGCTCTCAATCTTAGGTCGATGACGACTTCTGAATAGCTTTCAATATGGTCGAAGAAGAAATAATGCGTTAGTTTTAGTCCACGACAAATTAGGGTTCCCGCAAAGCGATTTCGTCTTTGGAATTTTGACATGTATTTTCTTACTGGCTTTTACTATATTGTTTATTTATGGTTAAACCTTGAAAGCTTGTTTGTTAAATGCTTATATGAGATTAGGAGATTAGGGTTTGTAGTCTGGTGGTGGTTTTGTAGTCTTTGTATGTCATAGAAATTAGGGTTGTTTTTCACGACAAATTAGGGTTATTTATGTCCTTATGTGAAATGCAAATGTGCCAGCAAATATAGTTTGCTTTGGTAGTATTATCCTGCTGTGCTAGCAAATGTCCCCTTCCCCTTCTTCTGAAATCAAACAAAGCTTGTTTGTTGAATGCCTATATGGCCTTAGGGTTTGTAGTTTATTTTGCTGAAGGTCCTTATGTGAAATTCAACTAAGCCAGCAGAAAGAGTTTGTTGTGGTTCCCTTCTTCTGATATCATGTGTATATGTTTTTATTTGTACATCTTGTGGTCCCTTCTTTAAGGCAAAAATTCAATTGAACCAACAATATATAGTGTGCATTTTTATTTGTATACAATGTGGTCCCTTTTATTTATATTCTCCATTGCATTAACTAATTAAATTGATTAGGTTATTATTATTTTTATGTAGGATGGCTGTCTGCTTTGATGTTAGAGTTGGAGGAGTGGTAAAATGGGAGCCTTTTCTTCAATATTTTTTGGGGGGGGGGACAGAGGGTTGCAGTTCAATGGGATGATGTGGACAAGTTGTCCATGTTTGAAATTATGGATATCTAAAAGACAGCTAGTGGAAAATTATCAATTGTGGAAGTTTTCTCACATAAGCCTGGGATGACCCTAAAGACAGCAAAGAAGAGGATTAAGATAGACTCTAATAAAGATATCCTTCAGTTGGTGAAGAAGTATCAAGTGGTTTATGTGATTCCACTATACTTTGAGGATTTACAGGGACCTGTACAACAGATGGACAGTGATGGGAACCTCATGACTTCACAAGAAGAGATACCTCTTCTTGAGTATCCCTATACTCAAGAGAGCTTTATAGATGAGGCTGATGAGGAAACTACAGAAGTCATACCAGAACCAAGCTATATGGGTGAACCTGAAGGGCAGAAAGATGATCTACCTTCTGAAGATGGAGCACAACATGAGTTTGAAGCACAACATGGTGGATCACATGGTGGCCAACAACAGGAGATGCCTCATGAGTTTGAAGCACAACAGGGTGGATCACATGGTGGCAAACAACAGGAGATGCCTCGTGAGTTTGAAGCACAACAGGGTGGATCACATGGTGGCCAAGAACATGAGATACCTAATGAGACTGCACCACAGGGAGAATTTGGATCACATGATGAGGATGAAGGACACCAAACTGAGGATGATTCAGAGGATGAAATGTATGTACCTGGCAAAAGTAGTGATGACATGTCATCTGAATTGTCTGAATGAGAGTTAGAAGATCTAGAAGGCCCTGAAGATGATGATATATTCCAGCAGAGGGATCCTGGTCATGCTAAGAAAGTTCACAAGATGGCTAAAGAATGGATGAAACAAAGAAAAAAGAAGAAAAAAATAGCAAGAGAAGAAGCTGAAAAGAAGAAAAAGTCTAATGAATCAGATTGGTACAGTGATATTGAGGATGATGATGAGAATTTATTTCACATGGATGATGAATGGAATGATGGAATGAGTATGGCAAGGTTTGAGCTAAAGGTTGGTCTGAAATTTCCAAACATAAGCAAATTCAAGGAGGTTCTTAGAGACTGGTCTGTCAGAAAGGGTTATGATTTGCAATATCCCAAGAATGAAGCTAAGCTCATCACAACAAAGTGCAAAAGTGGTTATGACTGGTATTGAGGGCCTCAGTCATATCTGACATGTCAACATTTCACATCAAGACCCTGAAAGGAACACACTCATGTGCTTACAGGACAGAAAACAAACAGGTAGATTACAAGTACCTAGGGAGAAGGATGATTGAAACATCGAGAGACAATCCTGCTGAGCCACTCCAAAGTCTGAAAAACAAAATTAAGAGAGATTGTGGGGTTGATATAAGTATTCACAAGGTGTACAGAGTTAGAGCTTATGGTTTGTCATTCTTGAAGGTTGACATTGGGGAGCAATTTAGGAGACTGTATGACTACTGTTCCACTGTAGTCAAGTACAATCCTGGTAACACCCTTATCCTAAAACTGAACCATGATTTCATACCTCCAAAGTTTGTCAGGATGTATGTTTGCTTTGGTGCAATGAGGCAGGCCTTTGTGACTGGATGCAGGCCCATTATAGGGCTTGATGGATGTTTTTTAAAGACTCTACATGGTGGTCAACTACAATCAGCTATTGACAGGGATGGCAATGACAACATGTTTCCTATTGCAATGGCCTATGTGGAAGTTCAGAAGATGGACTCTTGGAATTGGTTCATTCAAAGGCTGTTAAGAGATATTGACCCATACCTGGAGAAGAAGTGAACCTTTTTTTCAGATAGACAGAAAGGCTTGCTTGATGCTGTTGGTCAAATCAAAGGGGCAGAACACAGGTATTGCTTGAAGCACATGTACAACAATTTCAAGCAGAAATAGGGTGATTTGGAATTAAGAAAGTGGTTTTGGAAGGCAGCCAGCACATACAATGTGAGAGAATACATTAGGTGTATGAAAGAAATCCACAGGCTTGTCCCAAAGAAAGCTGGAAAGGTTACTCCATTTGAGTGGCTTAAGGCTATCCCTGAAGAACACTGGGCAAGATGTTTCTTCACTTCCAATGCAATGTGTGATGTTATTGTGAATAATCTATCAGAGTCCTTCAACAGTTACATCTTGGAAGCTAGGGATATGCCTATCATAGACATGTTTGAGTGGATAAAGAGAAGAATAATGGCAAGGATGCAGGTGAAGAGAGTTGGTATTGAAAAATATGCAGAGGATATATGCCCAAACACAGTGAGAAAAATTGAAGAGCAAAAGATGTTGAGCAGAAACTGTTACCCAACTTGGGGTGGAGAAGATAAATATAAGGTGGTGCATGGGGTTCAGAGTCATGTTGTGCAATTGAATGCTAGAAGTTGCACCTGTGGCATGTTTCAGTTGGTTGGTTATCCTTGTTGCCATGCACTAGCATGCATCTCATATCACAGATTTAATCTTTCTGACTATGTGTCTGATTTTTTCAAAAAAGAAATGTATGTAAGGGTGTATAGCAATATGATCAACCCTGTTCCAGGGATGAATGACTTTGAAGAGTCTGGAATGGGCCCAATTCAGCCACCTGATCCTGTGAAAAAAAAGAGGTAGGCCAACAAAGAAAAAGAGGGCTGATGGTAATGACATGAGGACTATGGGAGGAAGTGTGAGCAGAAAGGGTCATCTTAAGAAGTTAAGATATGCAAATTGTGTGGGGAGAAAAAATCACAGTAAAAGGAGCTGCATCAAAAGGGCTAGGGAAAATTCTGGTGCTTCTAGACATGTATATTCTTATTTTCATCATGTTATGCATTAAACTTCACAAAATTTCATGTTAATTGTTTTGTACATCCATGACACATTTGCAGCAACATCCATCTCAGCCTACTGCTTCCATATTCCGGCCGATCTGGGGTTTGAACATTCGATCCATCAGTCGCTGGTAGGTTGCTCCCGCATTTTTGAGGCCGAAGGGCATGACGACATAGCAATATGTCCCCTTGCTCGTCACGAAACTCACTTTACTTTGATCCTCCGGAGCTAAGGAAATTTGGTGGTATCCCTGGGATGCGTCCATCATGCTCAGCAACTCGCAACCAGCTGTTGAGTCGACTAGCTGGTTGATTCTAGACAAAAGATAGTGATCTTTTGGGCACGCCAGGTTCAAGTCACGAAAGTCGATGCACATACGCCATTTGTTCAGTGCTTTCCTCACCATCACTGTGCTAGATATCCATTCGGGGAATTGGATTTCCTTGATATGTTTGGCCTTCAGCAGCTTGTCCACCTCGACTTCAATTGCCTTGTCGATTTCAGCACCACGGTTCCTGAGTCGCTGCTTCACGGGCTTCCTGAGGGGGTCGACATTGAGTTTGTGCTCCATAACATCCGGGTCGATTCCGGTCAACTCTTCAGGAGAGAAAGCGAATATGTCCCTGAATTCTTTCAGCAATCCCACCAACTGTTATCGCAACTCGTCCTCCAACTCTCTCCCGACCTTGGTGGTTTGGTCTTTTGATTCTCCGATTTGAATTTCCATCAACTCCCTATGGGGCTCGAGGTCATTTCCTCTCAGCCTCTTTTCACTCGTCATCGGTTTCTTGCCTTCTTTGACCTCGGCCCGCTGGTTGGTTTTTACCGCGATCTGGTAACACGTTCTCGACAACTTTTGATCCCCTCGAGCCTCTCCCACTCGATCTCCTACGGGAAACTTCAACTTCATGTGATAGGTCGACACGACTGCTTGGAAGGCATTGAGTGCCGGCCTTCCAAGAATCACGTTATAAGCCGACTCGACGTCGACTACCACAAATCTCACCATTTTTACTTTCCTCAAGTCGCCCTCCCCCAAGATGACAGCGAGCGTGGTTTCTCCCAGGGGAGCGACTTCCGACCCATTTAATCCAAAGAGTGATGTATATAGAGGCATAAGTTCGATGTCTAGCTCCATCCTTCTGAGGCATTCATAGAAGATCACGTTTATGGAACTTCCAGTGTCGACAAACACCCTTTGCACCTCATATCCCGATATCTACGCAGTTATCATCAGGGCATCATTATGTGGCCTCTCGACTTCACCAACGTCCGCAGGTCCAAAGTTCATCACTGGTCCACTTTCGTCAACCTGCTGCACCTCGACTTTCGTATATCGACCTTGAGCATAGGCTTTTCTTGCTCGATTGGAATCTCCATCAGTCGACCCTCCAAAAATCATGTTAATTACTCCTCTTTTTTGGTGGGAGCTCCTCCTTTTCTGGTGACCTCGCCCTCTTGCGAGGACTCTTACTTCTCTCTCGTCTCCTGCTCGACCTCTCGCGATCTTTGTATATGAACTCCTTCAAGTGGCCCGCCTTTATCAACCTTTCAATCTTGTCTTTCAAATGTCGGCAGTCGTCGGTGTTGTGCCCGTAATCTTTGTGGAATCGACAATATAAGTTGCTTTTGGGCTTCATGGGTCCATCCTTCCTCGTCCGCGGCCATCTCACCACATCGTCGCGGATCTCCCTTTTCATTACTTCCAGAATTCTCGCGTGAGGAGCCGACAGGGGTGTGTACTGAGTCGGTCTCCAACCCCTAGATCGGCCTTCACCTCTATCAGCTCTCGGCGATCCCCTTCTTTCTCCTGTCGACTGGCCCTTCTTCTCCTTTTTGTCGTCTCGACTGTCAGTCTGGGACATTTTCACACTTTGCAAGTAATCGGCTTTGGCCTCCTCGACATTCATATATTTGGCACACCTTCCCAACACGTCATCGAAACTCCTACCAGGTCGCTTGGCCAAAGAGTTCTTACATAATCCTGGTAGTAGTCCTCTCGTCAGTCCTCCTGATTTGATTTCCTCTGTTGCCGTTGGGCACTCGACGCACGCCTTGGTAAACCTCGCCACATACTCCCGCAACGACTCGCCCTTCTTCTGCTGCATGCTAATCAACGAGAGGTAAGACTTCTCTTGCACCCTCACACTTGCGAATTGGTTAAGAAAACTCTAGCTAAATCCGTCAAAATCCCTAATCGACCCAGCTGGTAGCTGATGAAACCAATCCTGGGCCGATCCTGTCAGAGTCGTCAAGAATGCGCGATATTGCACTGGGTCGCTATAGCGATGAAGTACTGCCATATTTTCGAAACTCCTCAAATGTCGAGACGGGTCAGTGGAACCGTCGTACCATATGTTCAACTCCCTGAAGCCTTTGGGCAAGTCGGCTCTAAGGATCTGCAACAAGAATGGGTGTTCTTTTGCTCCTCTGCTCTTCTTCCCACCGACTCGAGTCTGTAAGTCGCGTACCTGGGCCAATAGTTGTTCCAACGTCTCGTCCCTTGCTTGTGGATTGATAGTTCGAATGGAGGATTCTTCCTCGTCCACTCTTCTGTTCTGTTGTACGTTTGACTGGGCTTGTTGCTCGACACGAGGTTGCTACTCGACTCGAGGCGGGTACTCGACACGGGGCTGCTGCTTGACTCGAGGCGGGTACTCTACTCGAGGTTGCTACTCGACCTGCGCCATTTGCTTCATCTGGGAAGCCACGGCTTCAGCGATCATCTTTTGCATTTCGCTTCTCGTCATCGTCAAGGTCTGCTCTTCGACACGGGGTTGGGTCTGCTCCGGTACCTCCTGTATCTGTTTTCCCTCACGTCGAGATATCTCCGTTGGCTCCTTCTCTCCATCTGGGTTAGGGTTTTGACTTGTTCCCGCCTGGGTCAACACTTGCAGCTTCACGCCGGTTGGAGTGACAGGTGTTTCTTCGCCCAACGCCAGTCCTGGTGGTGGAGGTCCTCCAAATGGTGGCATCCCCATCATCTGCATCACGGGGTGTTTGGTGGTGGAGAGTGGTGGTGGCCTCTTGTCCATCCACGTTCCCCTGAACTCCTCGTTCAAATTCCTCTGTAAGCCTTCCTTCTCCGCCATCAGCAAACAGATCGGAGATGGGTGTGAAGCTCTTTCTTCCTTCAAGAACTCCCCACAGTTGGCGCCAATATGATGGGTCTACTTCCAGATCTGGAGTAAACCGGTGGATATGAGCTCAGATCTGCTTGAACCGCCTCCAAATCGTTGCTAGACCGCGAGATGCCTGCAAAAACTCAACGCCGGAGGTGTTTCCGGCGTAGAGCCTCCGACGCTCAAGTCAGTATGAGAGTGATGAAGTGATACTGTGCAACAGCTATGGGGGAGAGTGAGAGTGAATGAGAGTTAGGGTTTGGGGTTACCTCACCTCCTTTATATAGGAGTGAATACTTACTTGAAGTGCCCAAAATGCCCAAGTCGGTGGACCTAGAAGGTCCAAAATGCCCTGGTCGATTTGTCTCCCCTTGTTGCTGAGTCATCACAAGATTTCTTCTTATCCTTTATAATATGCGGAACTTTAAGTATGCTGCAAGTGTGCTGAATCGCCATCACATCTTTGTTATTCGAGGTGTGCGGGGTCGACTTCGAGAAATAGGAGGTCGACTTGTAGATATGTGTGGATTCGGAGGCTACGCTTGGCTAACTCTCTGCGGTGAAGTCGTCTTCAGAGAGTCGTCATAGTGAAGTCGACTAGTGGAAGTCGTCCTAGAGTATCTGGATGCTCAGGAACTTATGTTCTTGTTGCTCTTCTTATATAAATATCGACTAGTGTAAGTCGACATGCTGAGGTCGACTTGTGAGGATCGACTGGACGGACTCCTTTCCCTTCCTGGTCGCTCTTTGTAAAGTCGACTTGTGGATGTCGACTTGAGTATGTCGATGGGGTCATGTCGTCATGCGAGTGGTTTTAGCGGTTCACCGGTCGGGTGAGGAGCCTCTGGACCGTGTTATCCTTATGTGGCTATATCAATGAAGAATTTGGTAATTTTGGTATGCAAGGGAAGAAGAAGAAAAGAGAGGAGAAAAGTGAAGGGGATACGGAAAAGATAAGAGAAGAACGAAGACATGGTAATGTTCAATTTTTTATTAAGATATCTACAAATATTTGGCAAAAAAATCTGACCAGATCTGACCAAAAATTTTGAATTGATGACTGGCGGGGATATTCAATTTTTTGCCAAAAATCTGGCTCATTATAGTAGTTCTTTAGGCGGGAATTGAAATCTTTTTTTTGCTGATTTTTCAGTTGATTTTTTCAAACAAATATCATTCCCTCTTTATATATTAATAGATATGCATGCTTATAATTTGCAGTGTAGCTTATATTTATTTTCAAAGTATTTTTTTTAATTAAAGAGTAATTCTATATGTAAAAAAATTATCCCGACCTTAAATGACAACCATTATTCTTTCAAATTTGTTTTAAGATTCAAACTGTACAGACTTTTTTATGAACAAAACCATATTTTCAATATTCTTTTTTATTTATTGTACTAAATGAATTGAAGTTGAAATTTGAGTATGTTTAGCTCTTTAAATTAGGTTGCACCTAATAATTTACGACATTTATATATATTGAAAAAGAGACGTCAATAAATCAAATAAGAAAAGTTTAAAAAAATCGCAGTCAACCAAGTTGACTTACTGAATATGGCAATCTTTTAAAAACCGTGCATTTGATATTTTTATTCCTTATATTGCGGCTGAAAATCTGTTCACGCGTTGCAATTTAAATCTGTTCCCTCCCCGAAAATCCGCACCCTCTCGTATTTATCCCAATAAATTAGGTTCTCCATATCTCTCCCCAAACACCAAAAGATCCGCCCAAATTCTTTACCCGTTACAATTCCATAAATCACGCCTTAATCTCCATAACTCCTCACGGTTTCCAAGCAAGGAGAGTTCAGAAGTCGCTAGATAATCTTCGGATATGCGTGCCGGAGAAGTTGCGGGCGATGATCGGAAAGATTGACGCCAACAGGAACGTCTAGGTGGATGCCGAGGAGTTCGACGCCCTGTACGCGGCGGCAATAGAAGACGACAGAGGCGACGAGGGGGGCGGCGGTGAAGAGGACGGGCGGGAGGCGTTTAGGGTTTTCGATCGGGACATAGCAAGTTCATCACGGGGGATGAACTGAGGTCGGTGCTGGCGGTGCTCAATGATCCATAACTCAGATTCGGACTCCTCACAGTCTGCCTTCCGGCCGCTCTCATATCCGTGTTCAAATTCAGGCTTCTCCTAGCCCCTATTATAATTACCCACCAAAGACTTCGTCTATAACATCTTCAATTCCTTTACCAGTTACCACACGAAGGCCAAATGATGTAGACCCTATAGGACAATTATACCATTCATCAGCTCCCCAAAAAGTGGATTTATTGTTTCCATTTGCAGGCAGATAGGAGATCCTGCTGTTAAGTTGATCGAGTATGGGGGGAGTCTCCTAATGAACAAGCATTGGTCTATGTTTGTAGTTGTCTATGGTTTTATGGTTATTGAACGAACTACAGGTCACATAGTTATTGACATTCAGGGGGAAAGACAAAGGTAATTTGAAGTTTTTTTTTTTTTTTTTCTNTTTGAATTATTTTTTTTCTATACTCCCAAAATATTATTTTGCTGTGTTTCGTGTCCTATTGCTATCCATAGTTCCCATCTCTAATTGCAAATTGCAATCAAAAATTGGCAGTCATAACTTATTCTGGAGTATAATTGCCTCCTATATTGACATGAACTTAGGGTTAAAGAGCGCTTTCTTGATGTTAAGAAAATGAATGATTGTGGAAATGACATATTTGTTACTACATTTCATAAGTTTTTTTTTTGTATCTGACGTTGCTGTGAGATGCTGTCTTTTTTACCCCTTTCAACTGTGAACAGGTACTCCAAATTATTTAAGAAATTGAAGATAATCTAACCAGGAAGGAGTTATATGAGGAACTTCTTCTAAGTTTAGGTAAGCTATAATTCTTGCTCTAGCTTTGTCCATACGATGTTTCCGTTCGTTTGTCACAGAGAAAGTTGATCTGCATTCTAAGTTGATATATCCTATGTGCTTATTACACACTTCATCTCCTTACCGTTCTGAAAAGCCTCCCATAAAATGGGAACAAGTAGTTGTTTATTACCATCTTTCATTGGTTTTATCTTATTATATTTCGTGGTTAGTTTTGAGCAATTTTTCTTGAATTTTACAAATGAAAGTTGCAGTAACACTTTAATAAGGTACAATTCATTCTTTTTTCGAGCATTAATATGTAAATGTCGAAAACTCATGCTAAAATTGTTTGAATTCATATTTCGGCATGTGTTCTAGATGGATCGGGAGTACACAAGAGAAAAGATTGAATGGAGGTACGTAGAATATGTCGATGACCAAGATGTGGATAACCATGATGTCCAGATGAGCGTCTATTAATTTTTTCTATGCTAAACCTACGTTTTTGATAGGTAAAAAGCTCATTGACCAAAAAATTTGGAGGAGGTACGATTTCATTAGCTCCAACACAGTTTAAAATGGTTTTTGGGTCCTTTTCGTGGTGTGCATTTGAGTTAATTTTCATGTTAAAACTATATAGGTTGTGTTTTGATTGGAAAATGCTGGTGGATTTTTGAAATTGAAGAGGCCAAGTGAGTGGACGTCGAATGACAATAATCGCCTCCGATGAACAAGAAGATGGCTTCTAAGGTTTGTATGCTCCATCGACTCTTTTCGTTGTTTTTGTTTCCTTTTTATTTTTTCGATTGCAAAGTATATTGATGCAATCGTTAAGTACACGTCCACTGACAGCGAGTTTTCAATCGTGAAGCTCAACTGCCAGTCCATCACGTACACCCGACCCTCAAACCCACACGCGAAGTAGTCCCAACGCGGCCTGCGAACGCCCTCGAGGCCTTTTTCGCACTGAAACTGTTCAGCCGATTTATGCCTAAACACAAAGCAATTTGTAGATCGAAAACATCTATATGAATTAGCTGAAACCAGAAAGCAATCGATACAATGGATAATTACAAAAACCACCTTTGGGGTTATTAACATAATAATAAAAAGATTCAGCTCTTTTTTACCTTTTAGTTTTTAAACACCCTACACTCAATTTAGTTTTTTTAGTTATGACTAAACCTCGTGAAAAGGTTTTTGTAATTGTCCCTGTGGATTATGATAATATCTCCACATTGCCAACTAGCGAGTGAAGCATCGACATTTAGGTGATTTTCGTGGTTACACAAATATAAGCAGTGAATTACTACAGAAATCCTACTTGGGATAATACAAGTGTGTTCTGATACTTTGTAAGGAAAATATAAATGCCCATGTGCCATTTGTTTGTATTTACCAAAATGCAATTATGGAGAATGTATTTGTGGAAGTACATTGCTTTGTAGTAGCACCTAAGGGGACACCAATTAGTTTCAGAAAGAAAGTTACAATGTTTCTGTTATTAGATTAAAAATAATGGTGTAGCTTTTGTACGTCGCTCATGTAAAAATTTGGAAGTCCATATTATGATTGAATTTTTTACTTTTGACAGCTGAGAAGGCTCATTATACCATAAGATATCCAATCACTGCATTAAAGAAATACATAACGGAAAACAAATTGGAAAACGAAGCAGATTTGAAGGCCACCGAGAACAACATTGAAGAAATTGTTGAAGATTTTGTCGAGTTTGCCGATAAAAGCCCGGTTCTAGCCCGAAATAAGCTGCTAGAGAATGTATTTTCCGACCCAAGGGGATTCGGAATCGGGCCTAATGGGAAGTACAGATATGAGGACCCTAAATTTACTGAGGGCACTGCTCAGGTGTAAGAATGATTTACACCTAAACTAAAAGCATTGGTAGGGTTAGTGTTCAGTTAAGTTGTTTAGTTGAATCATTATACCTATTTCTGATTGAAACGGCAATTGCAGCCTCTATTTTTTCTATGAGTGTTTTCGATATTGTGTTCTTATTGTCCAGGCTTTTTGTTGCTCTGTTGTTTGTTTTTCAGTTTTTTTAAGGTCTTTTTTTCCTTTTTAGTGTTGTTTGTTGGATGATTTTTAATGCAGCAAACTTGATGTGCCTCATTCCTAGAGACTTCAATATCGAAATAGAATGACTGTTATTACAAAGGGGACCGAGTACAAAACATGGAGCAGTGTCATCCTGAAAATTTTTTCACTTTTGCCTTAGCTTTAAATTTTGTTTTAAGTAAATAGTCCGTATGTTGTTCTAATATGTTAAATGCTTGTTTTTACGTTTTTATCTTTTATATAGTGTAAAACTAGTTGGGTCACGCCGTGCACGCACGGCGGACTCAAATTTAGTTTAAAAATATAGTGAAAATTTGTCATCACTTGCTGTAAAATTGAAAAGAATTATGCAAACAATCATTTCTCTCGGTAATGTTTTGAACCAGGGAACTGCGAGAGGTTAGTTATATTGGTTTTGAAATTTTGGCATCGTGTTGTTATCCAGTCTTTCTTTTCTATGTTTTTGAGTTTTTTTATTTTTTTGTTTTTTTCCTTGCCATCATGTTAAGGCAAACAAAAAATGCTTGCATGTTATAAATCAAAGTGAAATTTATTTTTAAATCCCATTATCATTAGGTTTATCCACATGGTAAAATTTGGTGGCATCATTATTTCTATTCAAACCTGGGGATTGTCTGCATTCTAGTGATGATAATTGTCATATATTACAGAGCTTGATTAAAAGGTTTTCTACTCAATATTGTAAATCCTATTTGGTCCTACAATTTAATAAAGGGAAAGAAACAATTAAAGCTTATGTTATTTCCACACTAATTCTAAACCTGAAGACCTCTAAGTATTTACAACAATCTCAACCAGTTTTAGTCAGGCAACCTAAAATAATATTAGTACTTCATAAGTTTCCTTAACCTTTATTTTATGGGTGTAATGACATTTATCACACCTAGCCGTCGAATAATACTGTTGCAAACTTGCAAACTTGCAATTTATTGCAACAGGCCAGACAACATCGGGTGCACTTGTGGCAGGCATGCCTGAGCTGACAAGGCGGTGGAAAACGGCCAAGCAGTCCATGCAGTATTAAGAAAACAAATAAATTAACTCATAAATTGTCACACCCGCATATTATCATGAAAATGGACTGGAAGCTCTTTGAAAAGCTTTCAGAATTTTTTAAATACAACATCAAGCTGATACATTCACCATAATTTTTCTCCCTGAAAGATTGCTGCAGGATATGAATGTATCTTAAAAAAAAAATACACGGGCAGTCAATATTCAAGATAAAGGAGAAAAACATTCTAGTATCCGTAATAATAAAACATGAACTAAAACTTACAACAGTGACCCAAAAACGCATTCGAACACGCATAACAATTATCATTATGAAGCAGTGACAAAAAATTAGTACCTTGTTCCTAACATAACAAAATGAGCATCATGTCACGCAATACCATTACAAAATTTCATAATGCAATTAGATTGACAACATCCAACAGAAATGAATCAAAATAACACACCCAAACACTAAAACTTGAGGCCACATTGCGTCAAACACCTAGTTAGCATCTCTAACGTCGTCTATAAATTAAAAAAAAAAATTTCCTCAGCTCAAACAACAATAGTTACCTTCCGGTAAAGATCATGATGCTCCAGGGGAAAATTGGCAACCAGTTTGGGTTCGACCTTCTCCCCACGGCCTCTTGTCCACCCTCCAGATCTACGTCATTTGCAGGGCCTGAATCTGCCGCCTTACTTTCGCTCTTCAAGCCAATGGGTACTCTTCCTCATAGTCAGACGCAAATAAAAAAATCCTGTTATCTATTTGTCTAATTATTACAATATTTTATTTAATTTTTTATAATTCAAATATCTTTTTCCTATTAACAAAACAAAATGATGGTACCAACCTCACTGAGGACACACAAAACCTCAATCTTACGTTGTTGTGTACTATAACTCGGCCCACCCGCCACAGAAAAGCTCCTATTCCGACAATTGGCACGGCACGAGCAGTGCAATAAACTGAAACTAAAGAATCAGGCAATGTGAAATAACAAATCCAGACAAGAGACATTTTCATTAGTAAGACTGTCACTATAGGTTAACATTATAAAATGCTGTAAAACATCTCCGACAAGCAAAATTCTGACTTAAATGATAATTCACGCCTGTCATCTTCAAAAGGCGAAAATAATTTTATCGATTGTAATGCATACCAAGCCAGGGAAAGAAATATCAACACAACCAGCCACAATTGAGCTAACTGAACTTACAGAGGCAAACTGAAATTAAAATCACAATAACCACTGGCTCTTAGTAGCTAGGCATCATTCAGAACCAAAGTGAAATATCAAATAAATAACTCAGAAATAAATTACCATATCAATTTTACAATTTTTCTGCAAAATAAGATCTTAAGCTCAAAACTCAAACAACACTATTCGCCATGAACTCTCTACATTCATATCAGCATAACATGTATCATATACTGACACAACACGCAAGGATGAACCTATATGCCAAGTGCCAACTTTCTTTGTTCTCTTTTAAGGACAAAGGCAATAATAATAAAAATGTTGAAATACAAGCTAACTTGGCTAAAAGTACCATCTCTTAAAACGTAATATAACTATAGTTCTTAATTTCATGTGTAAGAAAACATTTCTCATTTTATCCTACTTCTATGTGAACATATATAAATTGGCTGCTAAAGCATACAAAATACAAAATAACCAAGAGCATGAGAAGCCAAAACGATCTCCTTGGAAGTACCCTTCTTAATAGAATTGAGGCACTTGTATAGTAAAGTTGCAAAACTGAAACCAAAAAGCCAAAAAAATAAATCATTTTAAAGTGGATAAATGCATGCCGACTCAGAATTAATCAATTCTCCATTTTTTAAAAGAACACTAACCTAAGACAACTCTTGGTTTTTCTTCACCTCTATGTAGAATATAAGACTACGGCATCTGTAACTGACGACATCCATAATAGCCACCAACACGCAGCCTGTTCAAACCAAAAACATAGAAAAAAAAGGTTGAAGAAAACAAAGAAAACAAAACAAACAAACACATACCTTTCAATGAAGTCTCTGTTGTCCTCGTTGTAGCCACAATACCATCAGAATTTGGTCGCCTTTGTTGAGTAAATAAAACACCCAAGTGAAACACTTATCAGAACAGAAAAACTCAAAGTAAGCAATTTCTCATGATCAACACAACCCCCTAGAAATCCCCTAAATTCTTGAAAATCAACTGGTGCTTAAATTTTAAAAGCTCCAAAATTATCAAGATTTCAAAACAAATTTTAGTGTCATAGAGCAGCCACAAGACATGCAGATAGTACAAAAGGGGTTTCACAAAACAAATCCAAAGGTAAACATGAGAAAAAGAGCAAAATCGAAGGGTATAATACAAAAACTACGCCAAAACAAACCAAACGATGGCAATTATATAACATAAATGGTAAAAGTGCAAGGATCTAACCATCGAGAAGGAGAAGCAAGCACAGATCCAGCTCTCATTTTAAGGTGTCGACTTTCTCGATCTCATCCTGGAGCCTGCTGGCACAATCCTCGAGCTTTTGAATCTTCTCGTACACACCACGACTCCTCGAGACTCCCGGCGAAAACTATGTCTCGGTTGTTGGAAACGACAAATTTTTATTTTGCATCGTTGCTAAGCCACCTCGACCGTCTTTCCTGGTACTGCCGACGGGTCTCCCTGTCAGTCAGGGTCAACGACCGACGTTCTGTTCAGAGTCGTGGGATCTCTCCAGGTCGCCAAACGCTGCTGAAAAGTGTTGCACATGTATGATTGGTGTGGAAGAGATTTAAAAGAAGGAAATGGGAAGTAATTAAAAGAAATTGGAAAAGGAATTTGGAATTTTTTTGCTGCGAAAAGAGAAGTTAAGGTAGGAGAAAGAAGGAAAGAGAAGAAAAGGGAAAGAGAAATGGTAGAGATAAGTCTGTCGTAAACCAAAAAATCTGAACAAAGATTGTTGCGTATGTAGGATGGTTTGTTGGGAAGTGATTGGTCGGTCAAGTCAGAAGTCTGCAAAACTTCACAAGTAAGGAACAAATGACCATACTGACCCTAAAAGCTGGAGCCAATGAAGGAACTTGGTCGGTTCAAAAGAAGTGGCAAAGTCGAAAATAAAGCAGGACACGTGTCAATTTTTGAAGACCACTAAACCGGACACGTGTCGCTCATAGAAGAGGCTTAAGAGAGATATATAGATAAGAGAGATGTAAATGTCGTTTTGTGTTGTGTTGTGTGAGGTACATGGAAATAAAATTTATATTGTATAAAAAAATGTTACATATATTTTTATATATATTATGAAAAATTAAAAACATTTAAGTTAAATAGAAAGATTTACTATTCAATATTTAATTCGTACATACCAATTACCATTCAAGTATATTTTTTACAAAAATGTTCAGATGTTCCATATAAATATTGATCAATAACACTCATAATTTAATTTAAGTCATATACAATAAGAATCATAATTTAATTTAATTTAATTTAAGCAATCAAGGTAAATCATTAATTCAACTTAAAGTATTTATCTCACAGTTGCTATTATTATTATTATTATTATTATTATTATTATTATTATTATTATTTCATTTTTAAGTTTTGTTTAAGAACATAAACTTAGTCTATTCGGAACATTTTTTTTTATAATTCGTTCTTTTGATGCTTTAACGTGTAATTTGATGTGAAAAACGAATTAGCATAAAGTAGCATTAAAATCAATGCTCTTTTTATTTGGAACATTTTTTTTATAATTCGTTCTTTTAATGCTTTAACGTGTAATTTTGATGAAAAACGAATTAGCATAAAGTAACATTTAAACCAATGTTCTGAAAATCAACGTGTAATTTTGATGAAAAACGAATTAGCATAAAGTAACATTTAAACCAATGTTCTGAAAATCAAACTGGACTGGCCAGTTTGACCGGTTCAATCGTGGACCGGCCAGCATACCGGTCTGAATTGAGGTGTAAAACGGTTTTCAAGCCGTCCAAAAACTAGTTGAATCCGAAAATTGTCACCGGTTCCGGCAGCGGAACGGTTTGAATACAATGGCTTGCTTTTACTTCTTCAATTATAAGCACTTCAATTGTTTGATGTGTTTACGATGTGGGACACAGACATTTTCCCATTTTCTTGCCTTCTTCTGCTTGTGCGTGTGGGCCAGTTTAAAAAATAAAAGCCCACTTAATTTCTACTGCTTGGGCCCTTTTTTATGATATACGAACTGCAATTTAGCACCCTCCTGGCCACTCAATAAGTTGATAAAAATAAGATATATTTGGGCCACTTTTTAT